GGATTTATAGTTCACCTACAATCACAGAGCATTTGGAACCCCACCAACGATGGAACTGAACCAAACTTGTCACACAGTTAGAATCATAGAATCGAAGAGTTGGAAGAGACCTCCTGGGCCATCCAGTCCAACCCCATTCTGCCAAGAAGCAGGAATATTGCATTCAAATCACCCCTGACAGATGGCCATCCAGCCTCTGTTTAAAAGCTTCCAAAGAAGGAGCCTCCACCACACTCCGGGGCAGAGAGTTCCACTGCTGAATGGCTCTCACAGTCAGGAAGTTCTTCCTCATGTTCAGATGGAATCTCCTCTCTTGTAGTTTGAAGCCCTTGTTCCATTGCGTCCTAGTCTCCAGGGAAGCAGAAAACAAGCTTGCTCCCTCCTCCCTGTGGCTTCCTCTCACATATTTATACATGGCTATCATATCTCCTCTCAGCCTTCTCTTCTTCAGGCTAAACATGCCCAGCTCCTTAAGCCGCTCCTCGTAGGGCTTGTTCTCCAGACCCTTGATCATTTTAGTCGCCCTCCTCTGGACACATTCCTGCTTGTCTTCTCTCTTGAATTGTGGTGCCCAGAATTGGACACAATTCTCCCATGACCAACAGAAAATACTGGAAGGGTTTGGTGGGCAGTGTCCTTTGGTTTTGGAGTTGTAGTTCACCTACATCCAGAGATCACTGTGCACTCAAACAATGATGGATCTGGACCAAACTCTACACAAATACTCAATATGCCCAAATGTGAACACTGGTAGGGTTTGGGGGAAATAGAATCCTGACATTTGGGAGTTGTAGTTACTGGGATTTATAGTTCACCTAAAATCACAGAGCATTGCGAACCCATCAACGATAGAATTGGGCCAAACCTCCCACACAGAACCCCCATGTGGGCAGGGGGTGGCTAGTACAATTATATTGTAATATTATTAGTAATATTACATGTAATATAAAATATATAATTATAATATCATATTATTATTAGTATTATACTGTATGATGATGCAGTTTTGAAATTTTAATTCTCTCTTTTTTTAAAATGAAACAATTGAGGGAAAGCAGGAAACATTTATAGCTTTACTCTTTCTTTGGCTGTCGCCAAACGTGTACTACCAGGAATTTCAGCAAATCACTGGGAGATACCTGGGAATCTTCTCTTTTAAAATGTTCCTATTGCTGTTGCTGTTTCGGAGTGTAATAAATACTAGATTATAAAGGATGGGAGAATTCTTTTGGAGGAAGTGCAAATTGTATGTTGGGTTCCTCACTGTGTGTTACGACAGTCTTGCCGGGATAAATCAAAGATGTTGTCCAAAATGTATGCAGGCTGAATTTTACTAGACCATAGGCTTTAGGAGACAATCTGAACATTTCGAAAAATTCTCTTTACAACAAAAATCTAGAGAAGATTACCAGCATGCCTCGGGAACAACTGTGCTCAGTTTCCGCTCTGTAGCTCACCTGGACGGTTCTGTTCTGTGCTTTAAACATGTTTAAGACTGTCAACTCACCCTCCGCATGTGAGGTTCGCTCAGTGATACGGTTTTTGTCAGCAAGGAAACTGCCTGCTGCAGAAATTCATCGACAGATTTGTGAAGTGTGCGGTGATACTGTGATGAGTGAAAGCAAAGTGCGTAAGTGGGTACGACAATTCAGAGATGGCCGTGACAACGTCTATGATGAGGACCGCTCCGGTCGCCCTTCTTTGACGATTTGGTGGCTTCAGTTGAAGCGAGGATTCGTGAGAACAGGCACTTCACAATCACAGGTCTCTCAAACGAATTTCCTGACGTGTTGAGATCAGTGCTTTACAACATTGTTTCTGACCACCTAAAGTTTAGGAAACGGTGCTCCCTTTGGGTCCCGAAACTCCTAACAGAGGACCACAAAAACCAAAGATCTGAGTGTGCGATCAAATCAAATAGTCTGTAATCAAAGAAGGGCGACCGGAGCGGTCCTCATCATGGACGTTGTCACGGCCATCTTTGAGTTGTCGTACCCACTTACGCACTTTGCTTTCACTCATAACAGTATCACCGTACACTTCACAAATCTGTCGATGAATTTCTGCAGCAGGCAGGTTCCTTGCTGACAAAAACCGTATCACTGAGCAAACCTCACATGCGGAGGGTGAGTTGAGAGTCTCAAACATGTTTAAAGCACAGAACAGAACCATACAGGTGAGCTACAGAGCGGAAACTGAGCACAGTTGTTCCCGAGGTACACGACGCACGCGCTCGTTGCGGTATGCCCGCGAACTACTAGTGTCTACAACAAAACGGACCTTAGTTAAAAAGTATTTCTCTGGGATTACAACGAATTAAGCATTTGTCCATATTCCATTAAGTCATGCTGGCCACATGACCTTGGAGGTGTCTTCGGACAATGCTGGCTCTTCGGCTTAGAAATTGAGATGAGCACCACCCCCCAGAGTCAGACATGACTAGACTTAATGTCAGGGGAAACCTTTAACATTACTTTATCATGGTCTTAATTGATTGTAACAACACATTGTTGTTCCCTAACAATATGTCATTAAAGAGTCCTTGGAGACTAGGACACGGAACAATGGCTTCAAACTACAAGAGAGGAGATTCCATCTGAACACGAGGAAGAACTTCCTGATTGTGAGAGCCGTTCAGCAGTGGAACTCTCTGCCCCGGAGTGTGGTGGAGGCTCCTTCTTTGGAAGCTTTTAAACAGAGGCTGGATGGCCATCTGTCAGGGGTGATCTGAATGCAATATTCCTGCTTCTTGGCAGAATGGGGTTGGACTGGATGGCCCAGGAGGTCTCTTCCAACTCTTTGATTCTGTGATTCCCTTCCTGCTTGTTTGTTTCTTAAACCAATCTGAGAAATGCTTTCAGTTTCCTGGCAATGTGGAAAGCATCTCCTGACAACAGTTGGGTCCACGAGGCGCCTTTTTATCAAAATCAGAAGGGGCTAGAAGTTGCTTCCAGTTTTGAGCCCACCCAAAACATTTCAGATGGACCCAAAATCTGATAAATTGTCTTCTTCGTCTTCAGAAGGCTCTTTTCCTAGACTGTATTTCTTTCTAAAGAAATAATTAACTGTTTAATTATTGTTTTAATTAACCGTTTAATTACTGTTTTAAATATTTTTAATATATTGTTGATTGGTTGTTGTAGGTTTTTCCGCGCTATATGGCCATGTTCTAGAGGCATTTTCTCCTGATGTTTCGCCTGCATCTGTGGCAAGCATCCTCAGAGGTAGTGAGGTCTGTTGGAAGTAGGAAAATGGGTTTATATGTCTGTGGAATGACCAGGGTGAGGCAAAGGACTCTTGCCTGCTGGAGGCAGGTGTGACTGTTTCAACTGACCACCTTGATTAGCATACAACAGGCTGACTGTGCCTGGAGCAAACTTTTGTTGAGAGGTAATTAGATGTCCCTGCCTGCTTCCTCTCTGTTGTTGTGCTGTTGTAAAGGACTCTTGTCTGCTGGAGCTAGGTGTGAATGTTTCAACTGACCACCTTAATTAGCATTTGATGGCTTGGCAGTGCCTGGAGCAATCTTTTGTTGAGAGATGATTAGATGTGCCTGATTGTTTACTCTCTGTTGTGCTGTTGTAATTTTAGAGTTTTTTACTACTGATAGCCAGATTTTGTTCATTTTCATGGTTTCTTCCTTTCTGTTGAAATTGTCCACCTGCTTGTGGATTTCAACGGCTTCTCTGTGTAGTCTGACATGGTGGTTGTGAGAGTGGTCCAGCATTTCCGTGTTCTCAAATAATATGCTGTGTCCAGGTTGGTTCATCAGGTGCTCTGCTATGGCTGATTTCTCTGGTTGGAGTAGTCTGCAGTGCCTTTCATGTTCCTTGATTCGTGTTTGGGCGCTGCGTTTGGTGGTCCCTATGTAGACTTGTCCACAGCTGCATGGACAATCAGGCACATCAAATCACTCTCAACAAAAGATTCCCCCCAGGCACTTCCAAGCCATTAAATGCTAATCAAGGTGGTCAGTTAAAACATTCACACCTAGCTCCAGCAGACAAAAGTCCTTTGTCCCACCCTGGTAATTCCACAGATATATAAACCATTTTTCCTATTTCCAACAGGCCTCACTACCTCTGAGGATGCTTGCCATAGATGTAGGCAAAACGTCAGGAGAAAATGCCTCTAGAACATGGCCATATAGCCCGGAAAAACCTACAACAACCCAGTGATTCCAGCCATGAAAGCCTTCGACAATATATTGTTGATTGTTTTTATGATGCCGGCATCCGATGATGCTTTTGTGAGGCTGCCTTGAGTCCCCCCCCTCGGGGGTGAGAAGGGCAAGGTAAAAGTATAGGAAAGAATAAATAAAATCTTCATTGCGGAGCTACCCTGGGCTCCCCAAGAACCATCAGTCATAGAATGATAGTTGGAAGAGACCGCATGATCCATCTCTAGGCAATAATAATAATAATAATAATCTTTATTTGTACCCCACTACCATCTCCCCAAGGGATTCGGTGCAGCTTACATGAGGCCAAGCCCAAAATACATCAGTAAACAAACGTCAATACACAATCCCCTCTCATGTAGGAAAAGCACAATCAAAGCACCTCTGACAGATGGTCATCCAGCCTCTGTTTAAAAGCCTCCAAGGAAGGTGCTACCACCACATTCCAAGGTAGAGAGTTCCACTGTTGAACATCTCTTACAGTCAGCAAGTTTTTTCTAAATAATTAGGGGTTGGTATCTTTTTTTATTCCAAAGACACTTCCAAAAATTCTGCAAGAATTGCTTCAGTCTCTGCGTTGTTTTCATCTGCTCAAAAATGTCGTCATTCATCCACAGTTAACTGAAGCCTTGTCTCTTGTATGCCAAATAGTCACTGTTGAATGTTTTTATATTGTGTAAATGCTATTTTAGACTGTAAGTCGCTCGGAGCACCTTGGTGGAGAGCGACTAATTAAGAAATAAAGTGAAGTGAAGTATAGATGGTCAAGGGCACTACGGCTCCCCAAACAATGTGGATCTTCCTTCTTTTCCTTCTGTAGACATTTCGCCTACTTTTACCAAGATGGAAAGCTCCGATTCTAATAATAAAGGAAGTGTCGATCAGTCCGAAGTGCAGCGCCGGAGTCAGCTGGACCGTTTGGATCGGGAAGAGGCTTTCTATCAGTTTGTAAATAATCTGAGTGAAGAGGACTACAGGCTAATGAGAGATAACAACTTACTAGGCACCCCAGGTAAGTTACTTTATGTATTTGATGCCATTCGAGTATGTTAAAGTATGTCAAAATTTTGTCATTTTTGCGAGTATGCTGCTAAACATGCAATTATTTAAATTCTGCTACACGAGGTAGATGATTTGTTGAGATAAGCATACTAAGCATTGCTTCAGTCCAACTAACACATCAGGAGTCTTATATGTATCGGTGGTGATGATTTCACATATCTTAATCCCTTTAAAAGGGGAGACCTTTCAAAATAAAACAATTCCTCCTGATTCCTTTTCTGTCTTATTCCAGAACTTAATGAAATGTATGTAGTTTCAGACATGGATTAGGCTGGCACAAACTCTTTTAGTGTTTAGGCAGTTTTTCACATTGACTCTCAGAGATAGAAAAGTGTAGTATTACACTGCTGATGTTGTCCTATATCCTTAGAACAGGGGTCCTCAAACTACGGCCCGCGGGCCGGCCTTGGCCCTCCGAGGACATTTATCTGTGCCGGGGGGAGTGGAGAAGGGTGAGTCGTCCTTTGAGGCCGCACCGCCCGCCGCTTCCCTGGGTCCAGCTGGCCTTCTCCTGCCTTTGGAATGGGGCCTCGCATCATCCCGAAGGCAAGAGATGGCGAGGGAGGTGGCAGGCGATGCACCTTTGGGGCCGCACCGTCCACCACTTCCCTGGGCCCAGCTGGTCTTCTCCTGCCTTCAGGAAGGGGCCTCGCCTCATCCTGAAGGCAGGAGATGGCGAGGGAGCGGGCAGGCAAAGTGGTTTTGGGGCCGCGTCGCCCGCCTCATTCCAAAGGCAGGAGATGGCGAGGGAGGCGGCAGACAAAGCGGCTTTGGGGCTGTGTCTCCTGCCGCTTCCCTGGGCCCAGCCTGGCCTTCTGCCTTCGGGACGGGGCCTCGCCTCATCCCGAAGGCAAGAGATGGCGAGGGAGGTGGCGGGCAAGGTGGCTTTTGGGCTGCGTCGCCCGCCGCTTCCCTGGGCCCAGCTGGCCTTCTCCTGCCTTCAGGATGGGTCCTTGCCTCATCCCGAAGGCAAGAGATGGTGAGGGAGGGGGCAGGCAAAGCGGCTTTGGGGCTGTCGCCTGCTGCTTCCCTGGGCCCAGCTGGCCTTTTCCTGCCTTTGGGACAGGGCCTCGCCTCATCCCGAAGGCAGGAGATAGCAAAGGAGGCAAGATGGCTTTCGGGCTACGTCGCCCGCCGCTTCCCTGGGCTCAGCTGGCCTTCTCCTGCCTTCGGGACAGGGCCTCGCCTCATCCCAAAGGCAAGAGATGGCGAGGGAGGGGCGGGCGAAGTGGCTGGCAATGCAGCCCGAAACGACTTGGAAAGCACACAACAACAACCCTATCTCATCAGCCAAAAGCAGGTCCACATTTCCCACTGAAATACTAATAACTTTATATTTGTTAAAATTGTTCTTCATTTTAATTATTATATTGTTTAAAGCAGGGATCCTCAAACTTTTTAAATAGAGGGCCAGGTCATAGTCTCTAAAACTATTGGAGGGCCAGATTATTTTTTTTATTTTTTTAAAATAAAAACTATTATTATTATTATTATTATTATTATTATTATTATTATTATTGTGTCTGCAGCATGGACCAGATTATAATTTGGGGGGGGGGGGGGGAATGGACGAATTCCTATGCACACTGCACATATCTTATTTGTAATGCAAATAACACTTAAAAACAATGCAATAATTAAAATGAAGAACAATTTTAACAAATATAAACTTATTAGTATTTCAATGGGAAGTGTGGGCCTGCTTTTGGGTGATGAGATAAAATTGTTGTTGTTGTATGCTTTCAAGTAGTTTCAGACTTAAGTTGATCCTGAGTGAGGGCCGGGTAAATGACCCTGTTGGCCCCTGGGCCTTAGTTTGAGGACCCCTGGTTTAAAGTGTTTTTGCACTACAAATAAGGTATGTCCAGTGTGCATAGGCGGTGCCTGGGTTTTTCTAAGAAAGGCATTGTTTGCCAAGGTTGGTTTTTATCAGTTATTTATGTGGCTCACAGTGCTCTTGGGAAGTTAGTGAAGGTATTACGAGTCCCATCGTCCATGGTCCAACATCTTCCAAACAGCACCAGGATGTAAAGTGGGTCATAAGGAGTTTAGTCTTCATCAGTCATTGGATGAAGGTCGCAGTGGTCTCACGAGTGAGTGGAGGTACTTCAAGTCCCATCATCAGTGGTCCATCCTCCTCCAAACTGTACCAGGATGTAGAGTGGGTGAGGGTGGCTCTGTGTGCCAACTTTGATTTTGATCAGTCACTGGATGTGAGTTGCAGCGGTCTCAGAAAGTGAGTGGAGGTACTTTAAGTCCCATCATCCATGGTCTGCCGTCCTCCAAACTGCAGTAGGATGTATAGCGGGTCATGGGGGCTCTGTGTGCCAAGTTTGGTCTTTATTAGTCTTTGTTGGGGGCCGCAGTGGTTTGTGGGATCTGAAGAGTTTGAAAGTACTACAAATCCTATCATCCATTGTCTGTCCTCCCCCTAACCTCTCCAGGCTGTAAAGGCGGTCATGGGGGTTATGTGTGCCATGTTTGGTCTTGATCAGTCATTGGATGTGGGTTGCAGCGGTCTCGGGAAGTGAGTGGAGGTACTTCAAGTCCCACCATCCATTATCCACCCTCTTCCAAACTGAAGTAGGATGTAGAGTGGGTCATGGGGGCTCTGTGTGCCAAGTTTGGTCTTAATCTGTCTTTGTTGGGGGCCATAGTGGTCCGTGGAAACCAAAGTGTTTGAAAGTACTACAAAACCCATAATATGTGGTCCACCTCCCCCAAACCTCACCAGGATGTAAAGTTGGTCATGGGGGTTATGTGTGCCAAGTTTGGTCCAGGTTCACCATTTGAAGTGGTCACAGTGGCTTGTGAAAGTGGTAGCCAATCAGAAAGCTGCCACATACACCTCCCTCTGCATACAAACAGTGACTTTTATTATATAGATAGATTATAATCCGGCCCTGCAACAGTTTGAAAGACTGTGACCTGGCTTTCTATTTAAAAAGTTTGAGGACCTGGTGCGGTTTGGGGGAGGTGGACCACAGATTATGGGATTTGTAGAAGAATGTTGAAAGTAAATTGTTTACTCTTGGGGTTTATAACCGGGGCGAATGCATCTCTCCTTGATCAGTGGCTTTTCTACCGCAGGTGTTCCCGTTTTCCAGCATGGGTTCTTGGATGGGTAGATGCTTGATCTGAGTTGCAAATTGTTTCCTCAGGTGAAATTACGGAAGAAGAATTGCTCAGAAGACTGCAACAGATCAAGGAAGGTCCATCACAGCAAAACATGGAAGACAATAGAGGTAGGTCGGGTTCGTCTCGAGCTCCCATGAGAGAAGGTGTAGAAAGAGGAGAAACGCTATGACTAGGGATTGTTAGTCTTCAACTTTGTAAAGCCATTTATTCAATTACTAGCCATCCTCTGCCATGCGTTGCTGTGGCCCAGTCTGTGTATATGTGCTTTGTGTGTGTGTGTGTATGGTTTTGCTTATGCATTGTGATGTTATTTTTTATTTTTTGGCTTTTTAAGTCTCTTCTGCTGTGTTTTTTGGTGTTTTTATGAGACTAGCTGTACCCGCTACGCATTGCTGTGGCCAACCTTCCCTCCCTCTTTCTCTCCTTCCTTTCCTCTTTCCTTCCTTTCCCCTTTTTCTTTCCCTATCTCTCTTCTTTCTTCCATTTCTACCTGTTTCTTTCCTCCCTTTCTTTGCTCTTTGATTACATACTTCCTTCCTTCCCTATCTTTTGTTCCTTCTATCCTTCCTTCTCTCTCTTTTTCCTTTCACTTTTTTTTATTTTCTTCTGACCACGTTTCTTCCTCTTTCACATAGAATCATAGAATCAAAGAGTTGGAAGAGACCTCCTGGGCCATCATCCAGTCCAACCCCATTCTGCATAGAAGCAGGAATATTGCATTCAAATCACCCCTGACAGATGGCCATCCAGCCTCTGTTTAAAAGCTTCCAAAGAAGGAGCCTCCACCACACTCTGGGACAGAGAGTTCCACTGCTGAACGGCTCTCACAGTCAGGAAGTTCTTCCTCAGGTTCAGATGGAATCTCCTCTCTTTCCCTCCCTCCTTCTCTCCTTCCTTCCTTCCCTCTTTCCCTCCTTCTCTCATTACTTCTTGACTGTCCAATATATAAAATATTGTATTTATATCTTACATAGAAAGAAGGAAAGGAAGAAGGAGGGACAGGAAGGAAGGAAAAAGGAAGGGAGGGAGGGAAAGAAGGGAAGGAAGGAAAAGAAAGAGGAGGAGGGAGGGGAAGGAAGGAAGGAGGGAAAGAAAGGAGGGGGATGAAGAAAGGAGGGAGGGAAGGAAATGAAGGGGAAGGAAATGAAGAAAGGGAAAGAAGAAGGAAAGGGGGGGAGGAAAAGAAGGAAAGGAAGAAGGAAGGAGGGACAGGAAGGAAGGGAAGGAGGGAAAGAAGAAAAGGAAAGGAAGGAAGGAAGGAAAGGGAGGAAAGAAGGGAAGGGATGGAGAAGCACTGTGGACCTTCCTCACCTCCTCCTCCTCCTCCCCTTCCTCCTCCTCCCCTTCTTCCTTGCTCCGTTGCTGCTGCTGGCACTCATCCGCCCTTTCCTCTTCCAACAGGGAAAGGAGGAGGAGATTGCCCTCCTGACATAGGAGGGAAAGAGAAGGGGCTGCATGCGGCAAGCCTCCACCTCAACTCCACTCGCTTGTGTGTGTGTGTGTGTGTGTGTGTGTGTGTGTGTGGCCGTGCACATGCACCTGGCTTTAACGGCCGGCTGCTTCCCCGCGAGGAGGAGGAGGGGGGCATGGCCATGGGTCTCAGTGGGTCAGTTTCCCCTTTGTGGACATGCAGTTTAGAAGTCCTTTCTGCTTTTGGTTTTCGTTGTTTTTTTGAGTGGAGAACATACATTGGGTTGTTAGGGACATAGTGTCCAAATTTGGTGTCAATTGCCCCAGTGGTTTCTGATCTGTTGGAAGAGGAAAGGGCGGATGAGTGCCAGCAGCAGCAATGGAGCAAGGAAGAAGGGGAGGAGGAGGGGGAGGAGGAGGAGGCGACGAAGGTCCACGGTGCTTGAATGAAGGACCATCCTTCTCTCCCTCCCTTCCCTTCTTTCCTCCCTTTCCTTCCTTCCTTTCCTTCTTTCCCTCCTTCCCTTCCTTCCTGTCCCTCCATCTTTCTTCCTTTCCTTCTTTTCCTTCCTCCCTCCCTCCCTTTCCTTCTTCTTTCCCTTTCTTCTTTTCCTTCACCTTCATTTCCTTCCCTCCCTCCTTTCTTCATCCCCCTCCTTTCTTTCCCTCCCTCCCTCCTTCCTTCCTTCCTTCCTGTCCCTCCTTCTTTCTTTTCCTTCCTTTCCTTCTTTCCCTCCTTCCCCCCTCCTCCTTCCTTCCTTCTTCCTTTCCTTCTTTCTATGTAAGATATAAATACAATATTAAATGGGACAGTCAAGAAGTAACGAGAGAAGGAGGGAAAGAGGGAAGGAAGGAAGGAAGGAGAGAAGGAGGGAGGGAAAAAAGGAAAAAAAGAAAGATAGAGAAGCAAGGAAGGAGAGAAGGAAGTAAAAAAAGTGAAAGGAAAAAGAGAGGGAAGGAAGGAGAGAAGGAACAAAAGACAGGGAAGGAAGGAAGGATGTAACCAAAGAGCAAAGAAAGGGAGGAAAGAAACACGTAGAGATGGAAGAAAGAAGAGAGATAGGGAAAGAAAAAGAGGGAAGGAAGGAAGGAGAGAAAGAAGAAAGATTGGCCACAGCAACGTGTGGCGGGCACAGCTAGTGGTATAATAACAATTATAAAGAAATACAATATGTATAAATGGATAAAAGGTGTGTGATAAGAGTTATATGTAGCATAAGTTGTAACGGAAATTTAAAAATAATGATAAGAAATATGATTAAAGATGTTTTTGATGTTTTATTTTTATATATATATTTATTTGGAATATGTGCTCTTAGAGTAGAGCGTGATAGGAAAGACTAGAGTCGTTTTTTAGATGTTTTTGATGTTTATTTACTGTTAGATTGTATATAATTTTTTTTTTTTTTGTCGTGTCAGGAGCAACTTGAGAAAGTCGCTTCTGGTGTGAGAGAATTGGCCGTCCGCAAGGACGTTGCCCAGGGGACGCCCGGATGATTTGATGTTTTATCATCCTTGTGGGAGGCTTCTCTCATGTCCCCGCATGAGGAGCTGGAGCTGATAGAGGGAGCTCATCTGCCTCTCCCCGGATTCGAACCTGGGACCTGTCAGTCTTCAGTCCTGCTGGCACAGGGGTTTAACCCACTGCGCCAGCGGGGGCTCCTGTATATAATATGCATATATTATATGTATATTATACATATGATATATGTATATTATATACATATATCATATGTATATAATATGACATACTCTTTTGTCTAAGATACTGTAAAAAGAGAAGAATGTATGCTTATACATTTTGTTGGACAATATTAATAAATAAAATCTTTTTTTATTTTTTGCTTTTTCAGAATTTTTTATTATTATTATTTAAGTAAACATACATTTGCAAGTGTTTGTTGCATATAGTGCAATACTTTCTATCTATTAATGTTCTATAGTCCTTTATCTCATAATATATTTCTATTAAGGGGTCACAGTCTGCTATCTAAATGTTACATAGAAAGATATCATAGATTCTTACTTTACATCCACTTCTTCCTTGTCTACAGTCTTATAGGATCCTCTATATACATTTTTAATTTAACTTTGCATTAAGGTGTTGAATCATTGGTTGCCATTCATTAACGAAGTTGTCTAATATTTCTCCTCTTAATAATAAAATCCTTTTTTTTAAGTAAATAAATAAATATCAGTTGCTCTTGTCTGGCAGGTGCAGAGCCGACCGAAGACGTGTCTAACGGCGATTCGATAATAGATTGGCTGAATTCAGTTCGGCAGACGGGGAACACGACACGCAGCGGGCAGAGGGGGAACCAGTCTTGGAGAGCGGTCAGCCGGACTAACCCAAACAGTGGGGATTTCAGGTTCAGTTTGGAAATCAACGTCAACCGTAATAATGGGAACGCAGCCCCGGAAACAGAAGGTGAGCCTTCTGCAGAGCCATCCAATGGAGAGGATGTAGAAACCAACCAAAGTGACACTGAGGTCCCAAGACCGGACTCTCCCCCTCCTGCTCCTCCTCCTCCTCCCCCCCTTCCTCCTCCTCCTCCTCCTCCACCTGTTGTTGTCGTAAGGCAGCCTGAACCAGAGCCAACTCCTCTCGAAGAACGGCCTGAAGAAGTTTCTCCTGCCAGAGGGCAGAGGCGGTCCAGAAGCAGGAGTCCTGAACAGCGGAGGACGCGAGCGAGGACTGACAGGAGTAGGTCGCCCCTGAACCCAGTGAATGAATCACCTCGTAGGGTGCATCACAGCACGTCATCTCAGGCACCTGAGTTACCCCCAGCAAGCGAAGCGGAAGGAAGCTCTCGAACCAGGCAGCACGTGGTGATACGACAACATGCCGCTGCTCCTGAGCCCCCCAGTGAGAACCCAGCGCCGTTTCCCAACCCGGCTCCTCAGGCGACCGGTTCTTCAGAGCCCAACGGCAGTGCTGAGCCTGCGGCCCCCGGGCAAAGGCCTCCGACTATCGTCCTGGACTTGCAAGTGAGGCGGGTGCGCCCGGGAGAGTACCGGCAGAGGGACAGCATAGCCAACCGGACGCGGTCGAGGTCCCAGACCCCAAACAACACGGTCACTTACGAAAGCGAGCGGGGAGGCTTCCGGCGCACGTTTTCCCGCTCGGAGCGGGCAGGGGTGAGAACGTACGTCAGCACCATCCGGATCCCGATCCGCAGAATCCTGAACACGGGCCTGAGCGAGACGACGTCGGTGGCCATCCAGACCATGCTGAGGCAGATCATGACCGGCTTCGGCGAGCTCAGCTACTTCATGTACAGCGATACCGACACGGATCCCGGCGCACCCGCGCCAAACCCCAGCGTCGAGATGGCGGAGCCGCAGAACGGAGCAAGCGGCGGAAGTGGAAGTTTGAGCAGCGAAGCTCCGGAGGCCGGTCCGGGGGAGGCTTTCGAGAGCAGCAACGAGGGGGGGCCCGTGCCCGGCGCTCGGCGAGAAGGGCGCAACGCCAGGGGGTCCGTGACGTTTGAGGAAAGCGGCTCCCTGCCCTTCCTCAGCCTGGCACAGTTTTTCCTGCTGAATGAAGAGGACGACGACCAACCGAGGGGGCTCACCAAAGAGCAGATTGACAACCTGGCCATGAGGAATTTTGGGGAGAGCGACGCCCTGAAGACCTGCAGCGTCTGCATCACGGAATACACGGAAGGAAACAAGCTTAGGAAGTTGCCCTGTTCCCACGAGTATCACGTACACTGCATAGACCGCTGGCTCTCGGAGAATTCCACGTGTCCTATTTGCCGCAGAGCGGTCTTGGCTTCCAGTAACCGAGAGAGTGTGGTCTAAGCGGGCATCACAGACTTTGGACTTAGTACACGGGGCGCCAGCGGCCGGCGAGGAGGCCACTTTTGGTGCCGTGGCCATTGATGTAAAAACAAGGAGAAGGTGTGATCCTCTCACGCCAACAACGGAATTTGCAAAAACTGCCCAGCAAGATAATAGTGAGACCTTCCCAAGTAGGGTCCATACATAACATGCTGGGTTATGTTAAACCAAGTTTTTTTTAGAACAACAACAACAACAACAAAAGGAGACGCTGCATTTGCCCAAAGACACCTGCCTGTTACTTATTTTTGTTCTTGCCAGACCGGCAAGGTTTGCATCTCTCCTCCTCAGCTCAGTGTGCGGTGACATATGGAAAGACCTCCGTGCTCTCCTCTTCCCTGTGAAGGAATGACTGGAGCCCCCTCCCCAGCAACGTGTGCAGCCCAGTACTTTGTGGAGGGTTGAAATGAAAACAAATTTGGATGAAATTGCACCCCCCAAGTCTGATTTTAGCTCCTTTCTTGTATAGGATATTGAATACGGTCGTGTAAATAACACTAATGTTAGCTCCCTCTCTCACTGTACAGCTGTCTCCAGCCCAGCACCGCGGGGTGCCATAGAACGAGCTGATAGTTTAACGGGGATATTTATCTTGCTGTGGAAATATATGAATTGCTTCTGCTTGTTTAAATAAACACTTTTGCTTTAAGAACTGTAAATGCTTTTGTACAGGTCGGTAACTTTCCCCTTGAAAAATGGTCCTCTGATGCATCGGAAGTTCAGCCTCAATGAGGACTAGGAACGAGAAGTTGTCGGCGTCATTTTCCAAGGAAAAGGGGCAGAGCACTGTCAGCAACCTGGTTAAAACCACAGCTTTACTTACTTAGAATCATAGAATCAAAGAGTTGGAAGAGACCTCATGGGCCATCCAGTCCAACCCCATTCTGCCAAGAAGCAGGAATATTGCATTCAAATCACCCCTGACAGATGGCCATCCAGCCTCTGTTTAAAAGCTTCCAAAGAAGGAGCCTCCACCACACTCCGGGGCAGAGAGTTCCACTGCTGAACGGCTCTCACAGTCAGGAAGTTCTTCCTCGTGTTCAGATGGAATCTCCTCTCTTGTAGTTTGAAGCCATTGTTCCTTGTCCTAGTCTCCAGGGAAGCAGAAAACAAGCTTGCTCCCTCCTCCCTGTGGCTTCCTCTCACATACTTACTTAGGTGATCCCTCGTTGGATGAGTAAGATGGTCTTCCATGATGGGTTTCCTTGTGGTTCGTGTCTGGGCAATGCTGTTGCGTTTGGTGGTCCCTCTGTACACTTGTCCACTGCTGCATGGTATATGGTAGACTCCTGCAGAAGTGAGGGGATCCCTCTTGTCCTTTGCTGAACGGAGCATCGGTTGGATTTTCTTGGTGGGTCTATAGATGGTTTGTATGTTGTGTTTCCTCATCAACTTCCCTCTGCGGTCAGTGGTTTCTTCAACCAGAGAAATCAGCCATAGCAGAGGACCTGATGAACCAACCTGGACACAGCATTTTATTGGAGAACACAGAAATGCTGGACCACTCTCACAACCACCATGTCAGACTACACAGAGAGCCATTGAAATCCACAAGCATGTGGACAATTTCAACAGAAAGGAGGAAACCATGAAAATGAACAAAATCTGGCTACCAGTATTAAAAAAACTAAAATTGCAACAGCACAACAACAGGACAAAGAACAAGCCACGAGAGTAAAGATGAAGATCCACCCAGAGGAAAAGTGTTCCTGCCATACATCAAGGGAACCACTGACCGCAGAGGGAAGCTGATGAGGAAACACAACATACAAACTATCTACAGACCCACCAAGAAAATCCAACAAATGCTCCGTTCAGCAAAGGACAAGAGGGATCCTCTCACCTCTGCAGGAGTCTACCGTGTGCCATGCAGCTGTGGACAAGTCTACATAGGGACCACCAAACGCAGCGTTGCCCAGACACGCATCAAGGAACATGAAAGGCACTGCAGACCACTTCAACCAGAGAAGTCAGCCATAGCAGAGCACCTGATGAACCAGCCTGGACACAGCATATTATTTGAGAACACAGAAATGCTGGACCACTCTCACAACCACCATGTCAGACTACACAGAGAAGCCATTGAAAACCACAAGAAGCATGTGGACAATTTCAACAGAAAGGAGGAAACCATGAAAATGAACAAAATCTGGCTACCAGTATTTAAAAACTCTAAAATTACAACAGCACAACAACAGAGAGGAAACAAGCAAGGACATCTATCACCTCTCAACAAGGTTTGCTCCAGGCACAGTCAGGCCATTGTATGCTAATCAAGGTGGTCAACTGAAATATTCACACCTAGCTCTAGCAGACAAGAGTCCTTTGTCTCACCCTGGTCATTCCACATATATAGAAACCCTTTTTCCTAGTTCCAACAGACCTCACTACCTCTGAGGATGCTTGCCATAGATGCAGGCAAAACGTCAGGAGAGAATGCCTCTAGACCATGGGTTCCCAAACTACGGCCTGCGGGCCGTATGTGGCCCACCGAGGGCGTTTCTCCGGCCCATGCGACCTAGCCTGGCCTGGCCATGCCCACCTGGCGCCGCTCCGCCAATTGTGGGCACAATGATCTCTGCTCCGGCTGCTCTGCCTGTGTGGGAGGGAGAAGCCTCCCAGGTGGGTCCTCTGCAGAGCAGAGTGGCTGGAGCAAAGGGTGTCCGCAATTGACAGAGCGGCGCTGGGTAGGCGTGGCTAGGGAACGCCAGCGTGGTGAAGGCAGGTGAACTACAACTCCAAAACTCAAGGTCAATGCCCACTAAAACCAGTATTTTCTGTTGTTAATGGGGTTCTGTGTACCAAGACTGGTTCAATTCCATCATTGGTGGAGTTCAGAATGCTCTTTGATTGAACTATAAATCCCAGCAAATACAACCCCCAAACGCCACCGGTGTTCACATTTGGACATATTGAGTATCAGTGCCAAGTTTGGTCCAGATCTATCATTGAGTCCACAGTGTTTTGTGGAGGCAGGTGAACTACAACTCCAAAACCAAAGGACACTGCCCACCAAACCCTTCCAGTATTTTCTGTTGGTCATGGGAGAACTGTGTGCCAAATTTGGTTCAATTCCATCGTTGATGGGGTTCAGAATGCTCTTTGATTGTAGGTAAACTATAAATCCCAGCAACTACAACTCCCAAATATCAAGATTCTGTTTCCCCCAAACTCCACCAGTGTTGACATTTGGGCATATTGAGTATTTGTGCCAAGTTTGATCCCGATCCATCATTGTTTGAGTCCACAATGATCTCTGAATGTAGGTGTACTACAACTCCAAAACGAAAGGACACTGCCCACCAAACCCTTCCAGTATTTTCAGTTGGTCATGGGAGAACTGTGTGCCAAGTTTGGTTCAATTCCATAGTTGGTGGGGTTCAGAATGATCTTTGATTGTAGTTGAAATATAAATCCCACCAACTACAACTCCCAAATGACAAAATCATTTTTTTTTGAGTGAAGGACACACACTGGGTTGTTAGGTGTCTTGTGTCCAAATTTGGTGTCGATTCGTCCAGTGGTTTTTGAGTTCTGTTAATCCCACAAACGAACATTACTTTTTATTTATATAGAAGTGTGGGTTTTTGTTTTTTGATTTTGGGAGAGGGGGGTTGCACTGCAAATAATATATGTGCAGCGTGCATAGGAATTCATTTTTTTTTTTTCAAATTATAATCCGGGCCTCCCAACAATTTGCCGGACTGTGACCCGGCCCTCTGTTCAAAAAGTTTGGGGACCCCTGCTCTAGACCATGGCCATACAGCCCGAAAAAACCTACAACAACCCAGTGATTCCAGCCATGAAAGCCTTCGACAATACAACGATAGAGGCTTCTTTAAAAGTTGAATAGAGAAAAGATTTATTTATAAGAACAAACAAACAACTGACTTCTTTTATAAGGCACAAAAGCTTAACTTGTTACTAAGGTACAATTTCTTGATGGTTTCTTAAACAGAATTCCCAGCCTTGGTTACAAACAAAATTCCTCACTCTATTTTAACAAAATAGCAATGAGTCCCAGACTAACCTATCTCAGGCTGTCTTCAGAGCAATTACCTAACTCTAACCAGAGTCCTTTACAGCTAATCTACTCCCCCCAGAGAGCAAACCACTTGTGTTTTCACCCACAAGTAATCCAGGAGGCTACTTGACCCTTCGGGCCAATTATTTTATTTATTTATTTATTTATTTATTATTCGAACTTCTATGCCGCCACTCCCCTGGGGCTCGGAGCGGCTTACAAGACTAGCTATAATCTAACAAAATTTAAAAGCAATTTTAAACAATTTTAAAACAGCAATATCAAAGATCAAAGGCCTGTCGAAACAGATATGTCTTACATGCCCACAGGAAAGCTGGTAGGTCCCGCAAGGCATGGACTTCAGGTGGCAGAGTGTTCCAGAGCGATGGTGCCACTGCTGCGAACGCTCTGCGTCTGGTTGCTGTTAGACGCAAGGGCTTGACACTGGGAATTTCCAATAGATCTTGGTCCTCAGAACGGAGGGATCTCGGGTTGGTAGGGGGTGAGGCGGTCCCTCAGGTCCATCGGCCCCAGACCATGCAAGGCCTTAAAGGTGAGTACTAGGCCTGGGCGGTTTCGTTCGTTAATTTCGTAATTCGTTATTAATTCGTATTTAAATTAGCTTACGATCCAATATTGAGCCATGCAGGAATAGTGTGAGGAGTAAATTAGATTCGATTTTTTTCCAATTTATTTCGTAATTGTTTCGTTATTGTTTCGTAATTATTTTGTAATTATTTTCACATGCCTGGTGCAAGTTTTATAGTTGTTGTTTGTTTTATCACACCAACCGTCAACAACAGAGGGAGAGGGAAGCTTCAGAAGTTCCTCCTGTCCCATTTAGAAGTTTTTTTAGCATATTGCACAATCGCGTCCGCCATTAACGAATCGATTCAAAATTTACGAAATTTCGTATATTTTGAAATTTTTAAAAGGAAAATTTCGGAATTCTTTAAAAAAACGAAACGCGATGGACCCCTAAAAACAAAACGAGTTTAGAAACAAATTTTTCCGTTGTTACCCAAGCCTAGTGAGTACCATCCCTTTGAAAGTGATCCGGTGCTCAATGGGTAACCAATGCAGCTGTAGTAAGATTGGGGTTATGTGGCATCTCATCGGAATTCCCGCAAGAAGCCGAGCAGCTGCGTTTTGTACCAACTTGAGCTTCCGGATCACCGACAGAGGAAGGCCAATGTAGAGGGCGTTACAGTAGTCCAGTCTTGAGATGACTGTGGCCTGGATCACCGTAGCCAGGTCGTCCTTGGACAGGGAGGAGGCCAGCCGTCTAGCCTTCCGCAGGTGAAAGAAGGCGGTTCTGCTCACGGCAGAGACCTGGGCCTCCATCCTCAGCAGAGGGTCCAAAAGGACTCCCAGACTCTTTTCCAATGATGACGGGCGTGGCGCCTCGCCATCCAGGGTAGGCAGATGGATGTCCCCACTGCCCGGTCGACCCAGCCATAGGATCTCCGTCTTTGCTGGATTCACCCTCAACCTGCTGGCACGCAGCCATCCAGTCACGGCCTCGAGGCACTGATGGAAACAATCGGGTACAGAGTCCGGTCGGCCTTCCATCTTCAGCACCAGCGTACTGGTAACACTCCAGCCCAAAACCTCGAACCAGCTGAGCA